CCGACTTACCACACCAGCCGTTCGTCTCTCACCACAACCCGAGCGCAGCGACATATGCGCCACTGGAGAAGGTCTACAGCGACACACTATTCAACCGTGAACCCGGACAAGGAGCATATAATTATGTCGTCACGTTCATCGACGCCGCCACACGATACGCCTGTCACTTCAACCTCCCGAGCCGCGACATGGCCTTCGAAGCCTTCGTCGCCTGGCTTCTAGCAGCAGAACGAGAGTCAGAGGTGAAACTGAAAAGCTTCCAGTTAGACGGGGGAGGGGAATATCAGTCACAGAGGTTCAAGGACTATCTGGCAGAGAGAGGAATCAAACGGTTCATCTTCCTTCCCTACGCCCATCAACAGCAAGGCATAGCAGAAAGAATGAACAGGACCCTCCAGAACACCATGCGCAAACTGCTACGTGGCATGCGACTACCCAACCACCAGTTCAGCAGGCTCTGGGGGGGAGCACAGAGAAAAATGGCATGAAGCCATGGACAAGGAATCAAAAACGCGCGAAGAACGCAACACCTGGAAGGTCGTACCCATCGGAGTGGCACGCAATAAAACCATTCTCATCGGAAAATGGGTTTTCCGCGTGAAAACGTTGGCAGACGGAATCATCGACAAATTCAAGGCGCGTTGGGTCATTCGTGGCTTTGATCAAGAGCACGGACGAGACTTTACCGAAACGTTCGCTCCGGTCAGTCGACACACCTCACTGCGGATTCTCCTCGCGATAGCGGCCATGAAGTGGAAGAAACTCCGTCAAATCGACGTCGCCAACGCCTTTCTCTACGCGCCCGTCGACGCTGAGATCTTTGCCGAGCAGCCGCACAGCTCCAACACAGACCCCGACCAAGTCTGTCAGTTGCTGAAGTCCTTGTACGTCATCAAGCAAGCTCCGAGGCTATGGCAATAGTACCTAGACGCGTGGCTAATCCGCATCGGATTCCGCCAACTACCGCACAATCAAGGAATGTATCGACTCACGAAAGGCGCCGACTACATCCTGCTCATCGTCTGCGTAGACGATTTACTCTACATCGGCTCGACCGACGGCGTCACAACCTGGTTCGAAGGGGAGCTGCAGCGGGATTTAATGCTCACCGTCTCATCAACCGTGACGCAGTACCTAGGACTCAACATACAGAACGGCGAGAACACGATCCACCTCATCGCCGCGAAATACGCCGACACCATCGCCAAGCGCTTCGGACTAACGCCAACTACTATCACCACGCCATACCGCTAGACCGCCGGGAATCACAAGGAAGCCTCCGCGTCACTCAAGCCCGGCGGCATACGGACTACCAGTGAAAGCTAGGATGCCTGCTATTCGCAGTCGTCACCTGCCGTCTAGACCTATCGTATTCAGCAAGCCAGCTCGCCATCTACCTCAAGAAACCTGAAGAAGAGCACATGGCGGAATTCGACCGCGCACTCCACTACCTCGTCAGCACTTCGACAATCGGCCGAGCCACGACACCCAAGCTAATCGGGTACATGGATGCTGACCACGCTGGCGACTCCGACAACAGGCGCTCACGCACCGGCTACGTCTACCAACTCGAACCTATAGGGCCTATCTCGTGGCAATCGAGCAAACAGGAATTAATCGCCCTCTCCTCAGTCAAAGAAGAATATATTGCACTTTGCTCAGCCACCAAGGAAGGACTGTACCTTTGCGAACTGCTGGAAGAAGCGAAACTGGCCCAGTTACCTAGCTTCTCTTTGTTATGCGACAACCAATCTGCAATTCGCATAGCGAACAAGAACGGGTTCGCGAATCGGACGAAGCACATCGCCCTGCGATACTTCTTCGTGAAGGACGAGATCAAGAAAGGGAGACTCGAGCTATCCTACTGCCCCACGTCCGAGATGGCAGCCGACTATTTGACCAAGAAGCTCGGAAAACAGAAATTCGAGGACTGCATGCTGCTGACTGGACAAGGCCACGTCACCAGCAACGACACTCCAGAAGCGAAGGGGAGTGTTGGAAACAATTAATTAAACGCTTCTTGTGTGTCGTGACAGCGAACCACAAACTAGGCGAACTACAGAGGAACAACGACGAGTCAACCGTCGGAGGTTGACAAGAAAAGCAACTGCTGCAGGTTACACGAAGGTCAAAGGTCAGCGACCTTTTTGACTTGACAAGTACAGTGCGACAGCAAGGACAAACAACTGACTCGCTATTGAGCAGTTGTCCGAGTCGTCACTATATCTAACTGCAACAGCAACAGTAAAACGGTTACCGTATTAGCTGTATCATTTCATTTTCCTTGTACGGTACTCTTATAAAACCTTGTATCTTCTTGCTTTAAATCAATCTATCTTGCCCTCACATGTGAAACAAGTGAACAGGAATGAGAAATGACTAAGTCAGAGTTGGGTACAAATGCAACCCTAGAAAGCTGTACCCCATATGTGCTACCCCACTATAGCCTACAAACATGCATCAGCTATAATACTCTGACACACCCCCATAGGCTAAGTGGGGGAGAACAAGGGGTCACAAGACCAGTCAAGTAAAGCAAAGCAAAGCAAGCTCAGGGTAGATCACAAAGTCACCACACAGTCCGAGCACAAGAGCAGGGCCAGAGGCCAGTTCACATGCAGGAGTACAGACATATATATAAAACTAGACAAGCAAGAGCAGGTATATATATATGTCACAGTACAAGTGAAGTCAAGAGGAGAGCAAGTGAGGCAAGACAGGTACAAGACCCAGCTGGGTGCAAAAGCGCTGATGGTCACAAGGCGCGAGTGCCTTGGTGAACACATCAGCAGCGTTGGCCTCAGAGGCCACGTACGCAAGTCGCAACTGACCACGCTGCTGCAGCTCACGAGCAAGGAAGTAGCGGAGAGCAATGTGCTTCGTTCTGTGCTCCAAGCGCTGCTCTCGACACAAGGCCAGCATGGCCTTGTTGTCTACGTACAGCACTGGAGGAGAACGAGGCGGCTCTCCAAGGTCAGTCAGCAGGTAGGTGAGCCAGCGAAGCTCCTGTGCAGCCATGGCCCCGGCGTAGATCTCAGCCTCACAACTGGAGCCGAGAACCGAAGACGAGCGAGTAGACCGCCACGAGACAGAGCCGGAACCAAGGCTGAAGGTGTAACCCTGTGACGACCGCTGCGTAGCCTGGTCGTCAGCCCAAGAAGCGTCCGCGTGGCCGGTAAGGAACACTGGACTCCGCCCTCCAAGCACTAGCCCCATGCCCGACGTACTGCACAGGTAGCGCAATACCCTCTTCGCTGCAGCCATGTGCTCCGGTCTGTGTCTCCCAGGAGCAACATAGCGTGCAAGAATGCTCAGAGGGTATGCAAGGTCAGGTCGTGTGCAGGCCATCAGGTACATGAGGCAGCCAACAAGCTCTGCATACGGACCACTCGACTCTACGGACTCATCCGAAGGCAGAGCTGAGAGTGAGTGGCGAGTAGGCAGAGGAGTGGCCTGAGGCGAGGAGTACGTGAAGCCGAAGCGCTGAAGGACCTGCTGCACCATGTGTGACTGAGTCAAGGTAATGGTGTGGCGTGCTCTGTCCCGAGTGATCTGCAAGCCAAGGTAGCTGCGCAGTTCACCCAGGTCTGTGCACGTGTGTCACTTCAGCAGCTCGGACTTCACGTAGGCGAGTCCAGCAGTGTCCGCTGTGGCAAAGACCAAGTCGTCGACGTACACGAGGATGTAGAACGGCGGCAGGGAAGTGTCGGTGCGAAGAAACAGCGACGGGTCAGCAGTAGAAGGAGCAAACCCAAGAGCCGCAAGCGTAGTCCTCAGTGTGTCGTGCCACTCACGCGGTGCCTGGCGGAGACCGTAGACTGGCCGTCGGAGGCTCCACTGGGTGCCAGGAGGGAAAGTCCCAGTGAAACCAGGTGGACGGCGAAGCCAGATCTCCTCGTGCAGGCTACCCTGCAAGAACGCAGTGCTGAAGTCGAGAGAGTGAAGCTCGTAGTTGCGCTGAGCGGCTATGTGCAGCAGCACCCGAAGAGTAGTCATCTTCGGGGTGGGAGAGAAGGTCTGAAAGTAGTCAACTCCCTGCCGCTGACTGAAGCCACGAGCAACGTACCGTGCCTTGAAGACAGGTGGAGAGCCCGGCGGCCGCTTCACCCTGAAGATCCACATGCCACTGACGATGTTCGCCCCAGGAGGGGGAACCGCGTCAACGTAGGTGCCTGTGGACTTCCAGGAAGCCATCTCTGCATCCATAGCTGCCTGCCACTGAGAGGAGTAGGGACCCTCTACGGCCTCCACGTAAGAACGCGGAGTCGGAATGTCTAGTGCATCTGGGTCTCCCTCAGGGGCAAGCAGTACAGACGCGAGATGAGGTGAAGCAGCCGCTAGACACTGTAACTCCTCCTGCCTGTCCTCTAGGACGTCCGTGCCAAGAGCACACTCACCCCCGACGGACGGAGGAAAGACAGACGCAGACTCAGCAACAAGACTAGCAGCGTAGTCGAGACGACAGCGAGCAGCAAAGTCGACGAGCTCAGCGACTAGAGCAGACGCAGCAGTGGACTCAAAAGAGGGGTCAGTGACGACAGTAGCAAGCAGACGCGTGACAGTAGGACTGGCAGCACGAACAGAGTCCGACTCAGGGTTGGCAAGCGCAGGAAGAGAGGACTCAGGAGGAGAAGGCAAAGGGGCACGTAGAGGAGCAGTGGACGGACGCAAAGACATCCGGTGCGTGCCAGGGACAGGAGGAGGACGCTGACGCGAACTGCGACCACTAGCGCGAGCAGCACGAACAGGCGACGCGGGACGAGACGCAGGCTCACGACGCTCAGCAAGACCTCCAGTAGGACCAGTGTAAGGGGAGGCAGTGGAGAGGAAGGCTCCAGCAGGGACTGCGACTGGACAGGCGGTGGACCCTCTACTAGAGGAGAAAGACCAAGAACCTGCTGAAGGAGCGGAACGAAGTACGGCCGAGGCCGCGCGGCAGCTCCAGACTCAGTAGGGACAGCACCAGCACCCTCAGCGACAGCGAGACTTCGACCGGCCGACTAAGCGGCGTGAGTGTGGTGCGGTCTCGAAAGAAGGAGCAGGAAGCACCCGAGTCAAGGGTGAAAGTGTGCAAATCCTGAGCCGACGTGGTACCCGAGAGAGCAGACTCACCAGCACCTGGGGCAGTAGACTCACCAGCACCTGGGGCAGCAGCCTCACCAGTACCTAGAGCAGCAGCCTCAATGCCCGGGTCAGGCGGAACACACAGGTAACAGTCACCCTCATCACTAGTAGACACAACATACATGGCAGCAAGAATAGCATCATAATCAAGATCAAAGATAGCAACCCCTGACCTAAGCAGCTCGCCCCAGCGAGGGATCTCAGTGGCGTCACCAGGGAACTGGAGACGCCAGGCGTCCGTCAGGCGGCCGAAGCAGCGCTGGGTGGTGTGCGGGCCACCGCATGGCTCACCAGTGCGGTCGCCGGCACGCTGGACGTAGGCACAGGGGCCAGCACCCCCACCCTACTGACGCGCAGCGTACCACTCACAAAGCTGCTGGGGGGGCGGGGTCTCACAAGTGCGCTGCTGCTGCTGGCGGTGACCACCACCGAAGCCGCCCCACTGCACAGAGCCACCCCGACCAGCTCCACCGCCGCCGCCGCCACCGCCGCCACCGCCGCCTCCTCCGCTTCCACCGCCATTGCCGCCGCCGCCTCCGCCTCCACCGCCACCACCGAAGGCCCCACCCCCGCCACCACTCCCACCGCCACCCCCACCCCCTCCGCCGCCTCCACCACCACCTCCACCGCCACCTCCATTGCCCCCGCTAGCTCCTCCAGCGCCCTTGCCCCCCTTGTCCTTTCCGCTGCGGCGTCTCCCGCTAAGGGCAGATGCAGCGCCGATCGACTCGGTGCCAACGAGGTCGACCGCAGCAGAAGAGGCAACAGGGGGCAAAAGGGGGGAGGGGGAGCACCCCTCAAAGAAGGGGGCACGAGGGTCACCACGAGAGGCTCCTACAGCGACTATACTCTTCTCAGCTGCCAGGAGGCGCTCCTCGAGGAGGTCAGCGGTGAGGGTGGTGGGGCAAACAGAGAGGAAGTGGTCCCTATCCGAGCGAAGGGAGTCAGGGAGTCGGGTGACTAGGTAGTAGAGGGTGATGTACATGGGGGGGGGGGGGGGGGGGTTCTTGGCGCAGAACTCAGCAAGAAGCCTAGCGCGGTAGCGGGTGTCACTAGTGCGAAGGTGCGTAATGAGGTCAGCGACTCTGGGAAAGGCGGCGAGGTCAGGGAAGAGGTACGGCAGCATGAGGCGACTAAGGGCAGCAGTGGCAGGGGAAGAGTAGCGGACAACTACAGCGTCGTACAAGGTCTTAGCACTCTTGTACTGACTAAAGTGCGCGCGCTCAGTGGACGGCAAGTGACTACGTACAGCAAGACGGGCAGCAGCATCGCGTGTGGCCCACTGTGAGCGAACAGTACTGTGAGTATCGGCAGCAGGGGCAGCAGAGGCGCCAGACGTGAGATCGAATAGTGAGAGACCATCTTTTCTATCGCACTGCAGGAAAAGCTGCAGATCATCGACCAAGACCTCAAAGTCGACAGCCCGACCCTCAGCATCAAAGGTGAGAACATTGGGGGTAGCCATGACAGCAGCAGCAGCAGCAGGCTAGCAGCAGTAGCAGCAAGAGGGGCGTGGCTCAGCGATGCTCTTACCAGGGGCGGGTGGGTAGAGGTCCGCAAGTGGTGGGGCAAGGCCGAGGTGCGCCGGCAAGAACAGGGCCGCGACAGGGCGGCAGAGGAGGGCCGCGCCTTGGCTGTAGGGTAGGGCCGGGACGGCGGCGGCGGCTGTCACGGCAGTGGCAGCGGCGGTTGTCTCAGCAGGAGCGCTGGCGGCTGTCACTGCAGCAGCAGCGGCGGCGACCAGCTGTGGAGGAAGCAGCAGCAACAGCAGGCACGACGGCAGTTGCTGCTGGGGCGGCGACGACGGGGTGGCAGGGCCGTGAAGAGCCGGGGAGGGGCTGCTAAGGGGCCGCGACGAGCCGCGAAAGGGGCCGCGGAGGGGCCGTGAAGGAGCCGCAAAGGGCCGCGAAGGGCCGCGGAGGGGCCGTGAAGGGGCCGAGAAGGGCGGCGAAGGGGCCGAGGAGGGGCCGCAAGGGGCCGCGAAGGGGCCAAACAGGGGCCGCGAGGGGCCAAGAAGGGGCCGCGAAGGGGCTGCAAAGGGCCGTGAGAGGGGCCATGAAGGGCCGCAAAGGGGCCGCGAAGGGGGGGCAGGTGCACGGGGCGCGACTAGGGCAGGCGCAAAGCGCGCTCCGGGCATGTAAGGAAAAAAAAAAAAAAAATCGTTTTAGTGGTGGGCCCTAGGAAACGTTCCCACTAGGGAACCTGCTCTATGTCATATAAAATAACGAGGAATAAATGGACTAGGAAAGTGTGTGATACAAAAATCAAACCCTAGAAACCTGTACCCCTTAATGTCTAGCCCACTAGAGCCTACAAACACTATGTCATATATATCTGACAACGCGCTCCCCGTTTGACGACTCCTCGTTTGAAGACTCCCCGTTTGAAACGCACTTCCGGTTCGACGTCTTCCTTGTTGGCGAATACTTCTCTCCAACGCCGACTTGCTCGCCGATCAGGTCACGTTGACCGCCAGCGATGCCGATGGGCGGAGCCGAAGGTGACGCAAGAATGCCCTTCTCATCGCTGGCGGTCGACGTCGATGCCGACTTAGGCAGCCTGGCGGCGAGCGATGGGAGGGAGGCGGGAAGAGGTGGCGGAGCGTTCGAGGAGGACGGAATAAAGGGAGCGGGATCGTCTGACGGACCGACGTCCTCGGCGGCGAGCACCTCAATCGCCGCAGGCGATGGGCCCGTTAGCGGAGAAACCTTCGTCCGCTCCGACGACGGCCCATGCTCCGCCTTCCACTCCTCTAGAGACATCGTCTCGTAGAGGTAATCAAGGCGTGATAGAGGGTAGGCCTATCAAAGATTTCGTGCCACCCCTCTGAAATGTGTGGTTCGCAAAAGTTTAGATTCAGACCAGCCCTCAATATGGTATGACTCGTCACACATCAACAAGATTACTCTGAAAATTAGACATCGCAAATATAACTCGTTTGAGAATCAGACTTGGAAAAACAGAATATTCAGAAATTAAGACTAGGCTCTAAAAATTGGTCAGAATATCAGAAAATCATACCATTACGGTCCGGAAAAATAGGCCCTGCCGGTGATCTTGCGATTGGAGCGGGGCCGACTCGGGAGTGGTTTGGATGAGAAATTGTAGGCTGGACGTGAGGGTCGTGTGGCCCTTGGGATGTACTCGCTACAGGGCGAGTACAGCAAGGAATTGTAATTTCTTACAACGGCACTGTCAAAAATTTTAGATATGTACCTGCGACATAACTAGTGTAGCTATTACTGTTACACCTGTTTTCTGGCCCTTGGATCCCTATCGAAACCCTCTTCTTCCTCGTACTTCTCGATTTCGCTACCTTACTAGCCTCCTATTCTCCTATATCCTATTTCAATAGATAATCAAACACGAAAATGAGATGCAACTAAGGAGAAAGGAGATTATGATGCCTAAAATACACTTCTTGGGAGAATGATGTATTTTGCTAGTCAAGAAGCATAGTACCGTAACATATATATTTGAAAAAAAAATTACTTGCCCTCTGATAAGTTCGGATGAAATTTGGACGTTACAAGGCCGAATACAGGTCTACATGCGTCAATGCTGCTTCAAGTGATGCTTCAAATGATACCTGATTGCTCCCCAGTAGACTCTTCCTCCATGCTCTTAATAGCTTCCAACATTGCAGCCAAGTTATTCGGATACGACGTTCCACTTTGCACCCCCTCTGCTTGCTCATCCACCTTTACCGCTGCACTCAGCACCTCCTTCCCCACCACCTCGTGCCTGATTCCCTGCAGCTCGTTGGCAATGGTGGCCATGCTGGGCCGGCTTGCAGTGCACTGCACAGTGCAGCGCAGAGCCAGCTGGGCCAGGCGCAGCACAGTATCATCCGGGGCGTCCATGTCCTGGTCCTTGAGGAGGGTGGGGTTGTTGGACGAAACGCAATCCTCCACCTGACGGGCTGAACAAGGGGGGTGGGGATTGGGGCAGGTACATCGAATGGCGCAGCACAGCATCATCAAACTTGTCCATGCTGAGGTCCAGTCAGATTGAGTTGAGAAACAAGAGGCAGACTGGGTCGTTGGAGGATGTTTAGTTGAGTTGAGCAACACGAGGGCACACCTAATGCATGCGTACACCTGAGGTGCATAGTTGGCAAGAAGAGTTTGTGGGACGACAGGAGGGTAGCTGAGGCATACCTACACCAGACAGATTGGCGGAGAATCAAGGCACCACCAATAGCGACAGAATCGTCACCTTCACTTCCTGGACACATCCGCCGGATCTCGACCCCGACTTCAGCCTCGGCGGCTTCTGGTATTCGAACACCATACCTGAGGCAGAACGAACGAGAGCATTAGCGACAATACAACAACCGGCAGCAGCAGAAACAACATCATCAGCAGCAAAGACAACATCGGCAGCAGCAGAGACAACACCGGCACCAATCGCTAGGCCTTCATCGACGACACACCACCAACTCCTTCACAGCAGCTGAATCCCACTCCACGGGAAGTCCACAGAAGTGCACACTTCACCGCAGGCTTCTACTCGAACTCCGACCTGTACAGACGCTCACCCGGATATCGCGCTAGCGAAAGCATCTGGCATGCAAGAATGGGACATCCGAGCAATACAACGTTAAACAACACGATAAGAGCAGGCGTTCTTGATAAAGACTCACTGCTTCTACAAAACGGCAGAGAACTGCAACGAGAACCGCAAAGCCGACTTACCACACCAGCCGTTCGTCTCTCACCACAACCCGAGCGCACCGACATATGCGCCACTGGAGAAGGTCTACAGCGACACACTATTCAACCGTGAACCCGGACAAGGAGCATATAATTATGTCGTCACGTTCATCGACGCCGCCACACGATACGCCTGTCACTTCAACCTCCCGAGCCGCGACATGGCCTTCGAAGCCTTCGTCGCCTGGCTTCTAGCAGCAGAACGAGAGTCAGAGGTGAAACTGAAAAGCTTCCAGTTAGACGGGGGAGGGGAATATCAGTCACAGAGGTTCAAGGACTATCTGGCAGAGAGAGGAATCAAACGGTTCATCTTCCTTCCCTACGCCCATCAACAGCAAGGCATAGCAGAAAGAATGAACAGGACCCTCCAGAACACCATGCGCAAACTGCTACGTGGCATGCGACTACCCAACCACCAGTTCAGCAGGCTCTGGGGGGGGAGCACAGAGAAAAATGGCATGAAGCCATGGACAAGGAATCAAAAACGCGCGAAGAACGCAACACCTGGAAGGTCGTACCCATCAGAGTGGCACGCAATAAAACCATTCTCATCGGAAAATGGGTTTTCCGCGTGAAAACGTTGGCAGACGGAATCATCGACAAATTCAAGGCGCGTTGGGTCATTCGTGGCTTTGATCAAGAGCACGGACGAGACTTTACCGAAACGTTCGCTCCGGTCAGTCGACACACCTCACTGCGGATTCTCCTCGCGATAGCGGCCATGAAGTGGAAGAAACTCCGTCAAATCGACGTCGCCAACGCCTTTCTCTACGCGCCCGTCGACGCTGAGATCTTTGCCGAGCAGCCGCACAGCTCCAACACAGACCCCGACCAAGTCTGTCAGTTGCTGAAGTCCTTGTACGTCATCAAGCAAGCTCCGAGGCTATGGCAATAGTACCTAGACGCGTGGCTAATCCGCATCGGATTCCGCCAACTACCGCACAATCAAGGAATGTATCGACTCACGAAAGGCGCCGACTACATCCTGCTCATCGTCTGCGTAGACGATTTACTCTACATCGGCTCGACCGACGGCGTCACAACCTGGTTCGAAGGGGAGCTGCAGCGGGATTTAACGCTCACCGTCTCATCAACCGTGACGCAGTACCTAGGACTCAACATACAAAACGGCGAGAACACGATCCACCTCATCGCCGCGAAATACGCCGACACCATCGCCAAGCGCTTCGGACTAACGCCAACTACTATCACCACGCCATACCGCTAGACCGCCGGGAATCACAAGGAAGCCTCCGCGTCACTCAAGCCCGGCGGCATACGGACTACCAGTGAAAGCTAGGATGCCTGCTATTCGCAGTCGTCACCTGCCGTCTAGACCTATCGTATTCAGCAAGCCAGCTCGCCATCTACCTCAAGAAACCTGAAGAAGAGCACATGGCGGAATTCGACCGCGCACTCCACTACCTCGTCAGCACTTCGACAATCGGCCTGACCTACCACAAAAACGGAGCCACGACACCCAAGCTAATCGGGTACATGGATGCTGACCACGCTGGCGACTCCGACAACAGGCGCTCACGCACCGGCTACGTCTACCAACTCGAACCTATAGGGCCTATCTCGTGGCAATCGAGCAAACAGGAATTAATCGCCCTCTCCTCAGTCAAAGAAGAATATATTGCACTTTGCTCAGCCACCAAGGAAGGACTGTACCTTTGCGAACTGCTGGAAGAAGCGAAACTGGCCCAGTTACCTAGCTTCTCTTTGTTATGCGACAACCAATCTGCAATTCGCATAGCGAACAAGAACGGGTTCGCGAATCGGACGAAGCACATCGCCCTGCGATACTTCTTCGTGAAGGACGAGATCGAGAAAGGGAGACTCGAGCTATCCTACTGCCCCACGTCCGAGATGGCAGCCGACTATTTGACCAAGAAGCTCGGAAAACAGAAATTCGAGGACTGCATGCTGCTGACTGGACAAGGCCACGTCACCAGCAACGACACTCCAGAAGCGAAGGGGAGTGTTGGAAACAATTAATTAAACGCTTCTTGTGTGTCGTGACAGCGAACCACAAACGAGGCGAACTACAGAGGAACAACGACGAGTCAACCGTCGGAGGTTGACAAGAAAAGCAACTGCTGCAGGTTACACGAAGGTCAAAGGTCAGCGACCTTTTTGACTTGACAAGTACAGTGCGACAGCAAGGACAAACAACTGACTCGCTATTGAGCAGTTGTCCGAGTCGTCACTATATCTAACTGCAACAGCAACAGTAAAACGGTTACCGTATTAGCTGTATCATTTCATTTTCCTTGTACGGTACTCTTATAAAACCTTGTATCTTCTTGCTTTAAATCAATCTATCTTGCCCTCACATGTGAAACAAGTGAACAGGAATGAGAAATTACTAAGTCAGAGTTGGGTACAAATGCAACCCTAGAAAGCTGTACCCCATATGTGCTACCCCACTATAGCCTACAAACATGCATCAGCTATAATACTCTGACACACCCCCATAGGCTAAGTGGGGGAGAACAAGGGGTCACAAGACCAGTCAAGTAAAGCAAAGCAAAGCAAGCTCAGGGTAGATCACAAAGTCACCACACAGTCCGAGCACAAGAGCAGGGCCAGAGGCCAGTTCACATGCAGGAGTACAGACATATATATAAAACTAGACAAGCAAGAGCTGGTATATATATATGTCACAGTACAAGTGAAGTCAAGAGGAGAGCAAGTGAGGCAAGACAGGTACAAGACCCAGCTGGGTGCAAAAGCGCTGATGGTCACAAGGCGCGAGTGCCTTGGTGAACACATCAGCAGCGTTGGCCTCAGAGGCCACGTACGCAAGTCGCAACTGACCACGCTGCTGCAGCTCACGAGCAAGGAAGTAGCGGAGAGCAATGTGCTTCGTTCTGTGCTCCAAGCGCTGCTCTCGACACAAGGCCAGCATGGCCTTGTTGTCTACGTACAGCACTGGAGGAGAACGAGGCGGCTCTCCAAGGTCAGTCAGCAGGTAGGTGAGCCAGCGAAGCTCCTGTGCAGCCATGGCCCCGGCGTAGATCTCAGCCTCACAACTGGAGCCGAGAACCGAAGACGAGCGAGTAGACCGCCACGAGACAGAGCCGGAACCAAGGCTGAAGGTGTAACCCTGTGACGACCGCTGCGTAGCCTGGTCGTCAGCCCAAGAAGCGTCCGCGTGGCCGGTAAGGAACACTGGACTCCGCCCTCCAAGCACTAGCCCCATGCCCGACGTACTGCACAGGTAGCGCAATACCCTCTTCGCTGCAGCCATGTGCTCCGGTCTGTGTCTCCCAGGAGCAACATAGCGTGCAAGAATGCTCAGAGGGTATGCAAGGTCAGGTCGTGTGCAGGCCATCAGGTACATGAGGCAGCCAACAAGCTCTGCATACGGACCACTCGACTCTACGGACTCATCCGAAGGCAGAGCTGAGAGTGAGTGGCGAGTAGGCAGAGGAGTGGCCTGAGGCGAGGAGTACGTGAAGCCGAAGCGCTGAAGGACCTGCTGCACCATGTGTGACTGAGTCAAGGTAATGGTGTGGCGTGCTCTGTCCCGAGTGATCTGCAAGCCAAGGTAGCTGCGCAGTTCACCCAGGTCTGTGCACGTGTGTCACTTCAGCAGCTCGGACTTCACGTAGGCGAGTCCAGCAGTGTCCGCTGTGGCAAAGACCAAGTCGTCGACGTACACGAGGATGTAGAACGGCGGCAGGGAAGTGTCGGTGCGAAGAAACAGCGACGGGTCAGCAGTAGAAGGAGCAAACCCAAGAGCCGCAAGCGTAGTCCTCAGTGTGTCGTGCCACTCACGCGGTGCCTGGCGGAGACCGTAGAATGGCCGTCGGAGGCTCCACTGGGTGCCAGGAGGGAAAGTCCCAGTGAAACGAGGTGGACGGCGAAGCCAGATCTCCTCGTGCAGGCTACCCTGCAAGAACGCAGTGCTGAAGTCGAGAGAGTGAAGCTCGTAGTTGCGCTGAGCGGCTATGTGCAGCAGCACCCGAAGAGTAGTCATCTTTGGGGTGGGAGAGAAGGTCTGAAAGTAGTCAACTCCCTGCCGCTGACTGAAGCCACGAGCAACGTACCGTGCCTTGAAGACAGGTGGAGAGCCCGGCGGCCGCTTCACCCTGAAGATCCACATGCCACTGACGATGTTCGCCCCAGGAGGGGGAACCGCGTCAACGTAGGTGCCTGTGGACTTCCAGGAAGCCATCTCTGCATCCATAGCTGCCTGCCACTGAGAGGAGTAGGGACCCTCTACGGCCTCCACGTAAGAACGCGGAGTCGGAATG